CTTGATTCATACTGCTCTGTAACCAGTTAAGTTTCAATAAAAGGAACTGCCCTTCTCAAGTTTCCTTTTGAGTCTGCTGAAACAAGGGGACAGAGGGACTTGGCGGGCCCACAATGGTCAGCGGGAGAAGAAAAACAGGAGAACAAGCTGGGATGCAGTGGACGCCCTTCTCGAGTTCCTCAAAGATTATAATGCCCAGCAGGATGCACAGGAGCGCTGCTGCTAGGAGGTGAAGGGGCCAGCCTCTTGCGCTATCGCTTGGCAGCATATAAAGGGCAGACTAAATAAAGAAGAGACGACATTCTTTTCCAGGCTTGTCTGGCTTGACTGCCAATGTTTGAGTGACCAGAGGTACAGACATTCGGGGCTCTGCAACGCCACTAGAAGGGTGGAACAGCTGCAAGACTGAAAACCACTGTGAGCCATTGGTCACGAAGGGGGGCGCCTTTGGCATCACGGCCTCTGCTCCCCAGCGATGCCTTCCCGTTCGGGAGCTTGGTCTGAGTGAGGACCTGCATTGCAGTGTGCCTGGCATGACGGTTACCCAGCCCTGGCTAAAGACTTATCTGGGGCCATCAGCATTCTGCTCTAGATCATTGATTCATGAGATTTCCCAGGAGAGCTAAGAATGGGTGTTCTTCACACTCCTTCAACAGATGAAGCTGTAACTGGTGAGAAAGCTTAGCGGGAAAAGTCGATGTATTAGCATATGCCTTCTTCCAAGGTTTTCTTGCACTAGCAGTTTCATTTAGAGGCCATAAAGACCTCAAGCAGATAAAAAGCAGCTGTTAGACTTAAGGATAAATGAAAGGCCCAACTAATTAATCAGATTAATGAGACTTTTGATTAAGAACATGCACCGACTCACTTTGAGCAATTTATTTTTAGAAGCGAGGCTCTGTACACAGCTGAGCCATCGTCACTCAACTTAAAGAGGAGGAAATGAAGAGATCAATGTTGTGAGAAAGGATTCAGCTGGTATCTTTTTAATAAGACATTTTGTGTTATTCAGCTATGCTATAACAAAGGCAGAGTCTCAGCAATCAATGCCTACAGCAGGAACGCGCAACTCTGCGGGTCCCTTTTAATACTGTTAAAATCTCAAGAGGGCTATTGCCGCTTTCCCCCAAAAGATTTCAGGGATCATGAACTTTTCTCTCTGGGCTGGATGCCACCCTCAGGGGCTACCCAGTTTGCAAGCTTCTTTTATGGTTATTTCTGATCAGTTATCCAAGATAAAGAGGGTATTTCAAGGCATTTGAACTTTAAATAGCCTACTCTGAGCTGAGCAGTGCTTTGCGGGCATGAAAGCTGCTGTCCTTGGGCTTATGGCTGAGTCAATGAGCACAGCGTTATGTTGCGGTCTTGGCAGGAAAAGTGCCCAAATTAGTAAGAATTACCTCTGGCTCTCTTCACTTTGCTTCCTCTGCCCTTGGCTCCACCTACAGCAGGAATGGAGTCCCCAAGATGAATCCTAAATTGGAATGTGGCCCCAGGGCTGAAAGGATCTCGTGGATCCCTACCCAGGATCTCAAGGTTGTGTACTGGAGACATATAGGACAGTACTAGAGATGTATGCAAACGCTGTCCTCAATGGCAGCACTCGTGTTTTGCGTGTGAATTGTCCCGGGCTGAATCCCTGCCTAGCCAGGTAGGGCTAGGAGAGGCTGTTTCCTGAAAGCACTGTAGGCAGCAGTGACGAATGGTCTGACTTGGTGTGAAGCAGTTTCCTAGACTGCAGCCTCAGCGCTTGCTAAGGGGAGGACACACAAGAATAAGCCAACCTGTATCCAAAGTCCGTGGGAGCTGAACGTTAGGTGCCGATGGCAAGTGGAAAGGAGGAAGGCCCCAGCCTGAAAAGAGGGAGCTCCAACAGCGACTCCTTGTTCCAACTGTTTGAGGAGACCCATCCCTTTCGGCATATCTGCAAGCTCTCCACCTTGCCAAACGCACCCTTCTTCTGTTACTTCTAACGGCCAAAGGAACAGGTTTCTTTCATGCCCAGCAATCTTACCTGCCAATCTCTGTCGTCCCAGAATTCATCCAGGTAATGAGATATCGCTTCCTCCACAATATTTCAGGTAAAACAGCAGGGCAACCTGAGTGCCACCCGGAGATCAGTTCCCAAGATCAGCTCCCATCTCTTTCATATTGCTGAATGCTGTTCTCCCCCTGCTGTACTGACTGGGGCCGTGCAGGGGCTCAGCCGAACCCCGAACAGGTGCAATTCGCTTTGGAGAGACTTGGCGCTTGTTCGGGGCAAAGCGGGTGTCCTCCAAAGTGGCCCAAACCAAAGCAAGCCCCTCCCTTCCTCCTCCTCAAAAGCTTCAGGACTGATTTGGAGGGAGTTTTTTAGGGGGGATGTAGGGAGACAATGTGTCTGCCACTATCAATGCATTTTTGCTTCCCACTCCAAGTTCTGCATGGAAGGACAACTCCAGGGGAGTGGAGGAAGAAAAGCAGCGTCAGCTCCTGGTGCCATGGCCTCCGAGCGCTATAGGATCTGAGCTCAGCTGGCTCCACATTTTCTTGCCGACTGCCTGGCACAGAGGAAGGGGGTGTCTGACAGCCACTCACAAGGGGTCACCCGCTATTTGGGTGGTGAGAAACGGGGGAAGGATACGCCCTCTCAGCTTGGAAAAAAAATATGGGGAAAGAACCTTTGGATAGGGTTTCATAGCAGCATGAAGCCTTACTCTAGGACAGTGTGTGTGTGAAACACAGTTGCACAATTCTCCAGAAAAGGGGGCATCCCTAACAGAAAACACACAAATTCGTCTCTCCCCACTTCTTCAAGGGCAGATTTGTATGTTCACGGACACCTACCGCTGGACCAAATACAAGGTGAGCTGCAGTGCGTGGCAGCCTCCCTAAATGAACAGCCAAACTGCTCCTGCAAATCAGCAGGGAGACATGGGAAGTCCCAGATCTACCAAAGGAAAACTCCCGACTTGGAACTGGATATCTTTCAAAGTGGATCAGCCAAACTGTCGTGCCGAGCGACTCAGAGGAATCGTTAGCACACATAAGAGAACAAGAAGCTCCCAGTGAGAGACAGGCTTTAGAGCAAGAAGTTTTCTACTTAGTGCCCAAGGCACAAACACCCCCCGCCCGCCACCTGACTCTGGTGAAGTTTTTATACAAGTTCCTCGTAACGTTCATGAGCCGGCCGTGGGAGAGTCCGTTGCCATGGAGAATGCCCAGCTGAGAAGACTTCGGGGCCTGGGCCAATTAGAAGAGAGGCAAAGTCCAAGAAGGAGGGAGAGGAGTTTATCTAGCCCCCAGGGGAAGGTCCGTTCCCGTCGGGTTAAGAGTACGTCATAAATCTGAGATAGGTCAGAAAGGAGGGGGCAACTGTGTTGCTGAGAACTACCATCAACTGCTCCTGTATTATCCATTGCCTGCTTATCTTTGGAGTATTTAGACTAAAAGGCTTTTAACCTTCATGGCCTGTACCTGTGTGAGTAATTAGAAAGAGTGCTCCGGCCTCACGACACAAACTGGGCTGCCTTCTCAAATGCCCAACTGGGCTTCTGTCTTGGGGACACGGGGCATCCCGGCCTGCAGCCACGTGTCCTTCCTATGTCTAGCATCCATCTGCAGCGAGCGGCAGCAAACTCCAGGACTAGAAAGCAGAAGGGCCAAAACCAGGAGTTTGAACAGGAGCAAACTCTCACTATGCTAGTTTCTTCCAGGCACATCAGACTCCTGGTGAATACACAGAAAATCTGCTTTCACCTCTCAAAACCCCAACATGTGACTCCACAATGAGCAAAAACAAACAGGGAAATGAGTGATGGCTGAACTAGGCACAGTCAGCAGATCCTCAGCAGTGATTCTGTGCAGGTCTTATGCAAACACCAACCATTCCTAGCACTGGGAGAGGAAAGAATACACGGATGCTGCCGCTCGGAGAGGCTCTCTCCAGGACCAAAACCGTCTGCACGTTAATACGCTCTGCTTCGCACCAGCTCAGTTACCATGGACTGAGGATGAAAAAGGCCCCGTGATTTCTGTGCTTTTGCAGTACCCAATATGTACACAGTGCTTTTGGAACGCTCAAAGTACTTTGTATAAACAATCTCTACAGCAGCCCTTTAAAGTGGGCTAGCACAGGAAAAACGTGTGGTGCAGCAGTTTGAGCGTGCGGCTGTGGTTTGGGAGATCTAGGTCTAATTGTTCACTTGGTCATGAGGGTTTGCACCTTGCAAGAGGAAAAAGGCAGGATATAAACATAATATGAATTATCATCACCACCACCACCACGGATGTCATTTTATTATAATTACGCTGCATTTATAGCCTGCCTCTTCTCCTCTTGTGAGGAGCCCACTGTGACCTAGAATGTTGGACTGGAAGACTGGGGTTCTCGTCCTCTCTTAGCATGAAGCTCATGGGGCGACTGTGCACCAATCAGATTCTCAGCCCAACCTACCTCACAGGGCTGTTGTGAGAATAAAATGGAGAGAAGCAGGAAGGATTATGTAAGCTACCTTGGTTTACTTGCAGGAAAAAGGGTGGGATATGAATGTAATCAATCTATCCATTCTTACCAGATCCAGGCATGGTCACTCTCTCCCTTCCTAATGGATATATACCCCGCAACACACACACACACACACACACACACACAACTCTGCACGCAAGCGTAAATACAGATACACTCATGTGCACATAGTGCCATTTTCCCAGTGTAAGTCCCGTGCTGATGCGATGAGGCAGCAGAACAATGGCCAGTGCTCTAGCTGACCCCAGCGTTCCGGGTCCATGGAGCCCACGATTGCAGTGCTGGGGCAGGGACTCTCTGGGCAACCACCGCCTCTCAGCCTAACCCACCTTACAGAGCTGCTCCAAGGGTAAACTGGGTGTGTGCAATGGGGGAGGCCAGGGGCAGAACCATGCAGGTCACTCTGTGCAACTCGGAGCAAGAGAAGAAAAAAAATAAATGCAATCAGTTCAGACATACAGCAGCATCGGCGGCAAGATGACGGACTCCTTACCGTTAGTGACAGCGCCATGCAGACAAAGGTGAACTTTTTGATATGTGTTGCACTGACGGTGCTGTTTGTGTTCACCATTTTATTGCTGGGATTATTCTAGGAAGAAAGAAGAACAGGGAAGCAGCATTAATTTCTTGAAGGGCAGCCATGTTCGTTTCCAGCAGCCAAAAAAAAAACCCATTAAATTGACTGCAATCCTATCTCCACTTCCCTGAGAACAAGCCCTGTCAACTTCAGTGGGATTCAGTGTGAACCATAAAGCTGTTCCACTGACAGGAATGGAAAGGAAGTACATCCTATATGCTCGCAGAAGTCTATTTGCCCTGTCCCACAGTGAGGGCCTTAAATGCATGCAGGCGGTTGGACCTCACAGCTAAAGGACAGATCAGAGACACTTAGCAGACCAAGAATTCAGGAGTTTTGCACTGAAACGCAAAGCACTTTACAGCATCAAAAGTGACAGCACTGAGGTTTGGGTGGCCATACACTGCCAGCTGAGTGCGACTTCTGATGAGAACTCATAAAGAGAAGGAAGATATTTTTCCATGTCAACAACCAGAGTACAGACTGACTCAGAGTTCATTAACCTGCTCTGTTTGTCCAAAGCCTGAACTCCCCAACCTCTTAACAGGAGTTTAAATAAGCAAAGACTGCAGCTTGAGGGAGGAAGATGCTGCTGCAGATGCTCGGCACACAACAAACGTGTGTTTGTTTTGCAACTCCTACTCCCAGAAATAGAAGGGTACAGCTGATCCAGATCACCAATTCCTGACTCATTACTTCTCCAATTAGCAAAGGAAGTAACTTGTGGAAAACTGAGCCCGGAACACCTGGTTTTTATTCAGTCTAATGATTTGTACACAAGCTAAGTGACTGGATGTTCTGTCCTGTGCAGAGATTCTGCTTATCGCTATGTAAGCATCAGCCTCCACCCCCGCTCCCCTGAACCATCCTCCATCTGTACGTATAAAAGGTAGAAAGCATGCAAAGAAGCAAGATGAAGTGGAATCTCCTATAGGAAATCTACGTACCGGAGCTGGTAAAGGCCAAAAACACATCTTTTAAACGATTTGCAATGGGTAGCCCAATTTAAAGCAGCAAATTGAACTCTTCCTTACTCACCACTGACTTAGAAAAAATGCATTATTTTTATCCAAATAATATGAGGTTGATAATGCAGGGCACAAAAGAGGTAAAAAGCTAACCACTTGGGTTCTTTGCTGGTAGAATGGGCCTCATGGGAAACTCACCTGTCCAGTGCTGGCTTCCATGGCCCCTTACAGACCAATCATCAATGGCATTGTGCAACCTCCTCTGATGATGTACAGGAGACAGACCCTCTGTTGCTCCCCATGACTGGCTAGTTTAAGCGAACGAAGAGGCTAGCTCTCAGGAACATACTTGGGGAGGTGTCTGTCAATCAGCACATGAGTGATAAAGGGCACAGAAAGGTGCTAAAGGACCAGCCTCTCTTCTCCATAGCTCAGTTTTCCATCTAATCTTCTACCATGGTTAGCACTGGCACAGGATTGCTTTGCTATCCTATTCCGGGCTGGGCAAGAATGCACCAGTACAAATTTAGCATTCCAGTAAGACTGCAGGACACAGTTTTCGCCTGCAATCACTCATGCAACAAACGGCTCCCTGAAGGGCAGACACCTGACATGCAAGATCAGAGGATTCCAGGAAGCCCTCCCAAGGAAGACCACACTGCTGGTGGCACCACGACAGTGTGGAGCTAGATGCCAACCTTCTGGCATGTGGCTTCCCTTGGACTGCTCAAGAGATGAAAAAGATGAACTGGAAGATAGGCGAAGTGGGGTAAACATCAGAAGGACACACTGTCTGTACAGCAGGGACTGCAAAACCTTGCAGGTTCATCTCATTTCTTGCAAATGTCACACTGTGATACAACCAGACTGTTCAGAGAACACACTTGGTGAGGATGCATTCGAAAGGGAATCTATGGGGTTGCTCGTCACAGAAAACAAACTCACCTTATCAAAAGCAGGATAAACAGCTCGAATCTCCGTCAACCAGCCATATGGCATGTGTCCCACTGGATATGTAGCTGTCAGAATTGCCACTGCCTAAGCCAGGAGGAGAAAAGAAAAATAACAGGTCAAACTCTCAGGGAAGCCCATTTGACTTGCCTCTTGCCCAGTGTTCTGGTAATCCCGCCGCAGTCACAGCAGCAGCATTTCTGCGAGTCAGGCAAGCAACTAGAATATGGCTAAGACTAGTAAGTCTTTTCCTTTCAGTTGCAGGAAGGGTCTGATGCAGGACTGGAGAGCACCTGGTCCACCTGTTGTTCCCGGACTGCAATTCTCATGAGTCCATCCAATATAGCGAATGCCAAGGAATGATGGATAGCTCAACAACTGGAGGCCGTTTCCCTCCACTTGCTCTGATGAAAACAGATCATTTCAAAAGAGGTATTAGGGTACATCTGGGTGTCCCCCCCCCCATTTTTCCAGTCATCTGATGAACCTTCCTGCTTTTGAGGACCACAGAGCACTGAAATATGCCACTGCTTCATTCACCAAGGAGCGATAAGCACCATCAGGTAATACAAAACTATTACTCAGTAAAAAGATTGTGCCTCGGCGAAGGGAGGGAACCACAGGAAAAGTGCCAAAGGCTGGTGCACAGTGGCCTCATTCAAAGCTAGGACTGAAGTGTGAGTTCAAGTGGAAGAATGAGCTACAGTGAACCTTGGACTCCCATGCACTGTAGGAACAAGGTAGCCACGGCTAGTGGAAATATGCCAACTTCAAACTAGGTTTTACAAAGCTGGCTTGTTTCAGCTACCCATAGTGAAGTTAACCACAGTTTAGATTTGCATGACACGCTAAGCTGTGATTTATCCAAAAAGACAATGGAAACTTCTGAACTCCCCCGGCACACAATAGAAGTTCACTTTCACGCAGCTCTAAGGCTAAATTCGGCCAGCAACTGTGTGTAGTGAGGACTGGAGCCCGTATGAACTGGAAAGGTACTGAATGTTTATTTCTTTATTTAAGCTTTTCTATCGTGTTCATGCAGTGAAAAAGCTCTCTGGACAAATGTTGCCCCACAGTATGGGGACAATGATGCCACAGCTGCTGCTTGCTTGGGATCATCCACAAAAACTACTTTTGCAGTCATGTGCAGCCCATGGCTGGAAACACACGGGATCTCTACCTGGGTCAAATAAGGGAGCTGCTCCGGCGATCAGGCAATGAGCCTAGGAACTTGGTGGGCAGAAGTGAGGACGCTACAGCGCCGCAACAACCCTGAGCAGTAAGATCCCCCACAGATGCCAGCGTGTGCACCTGCATCGCAGCAAGACTGTCAGGACTGGAAGCCCCAAGGTGCTTTCAAAATAGGGAACGTGTCCTCGGATGGAGGGGTCAAGAGGGCCAGCACCCGAGACATGCACCCACTCCTTTAGATTTTAGGGATACGCAAGAGACTCAGCCTTCTGGGTTCTGTCTTGCTTCTCCACACTTGTGCCAACCCAATCTGATGAGACTTGAAAATGCTCTCAAAACAGGCCGTGATTTGCACAGGTTGGTTGGTTATTAAAAGCTCAGGAAGCAGGGGCAAGTTGCGGAGCCTGAAATTTGCACAGATTTGTATAAATTTATCATTTATTTCCTGAGTTTAAAAAACAAACTAGGGCAAACCAGACTAAAAGTACTGGGAAATCCATCCAAGTCAAATGGAACTCATTTCCCAGCATCCCACATTCCTTTTAGGTATCCCTTCATTGTACTGAAATTGCTTTGACAACCATTCTGGATTGTCCTCCCACCTTGTGGTGGGGCGGGGAGGAGGTCAGTATCTTACTCTCCTCTTGCAAACGTGCTGGGGCGTTTCCAGTCTATGAATTTCTGTAGACTAGTTAAAAAAAAGCCACTCCTGAAAGAGCAGCACAGTCCTCCAAAGCAGTGGCAAAGCACCCTCCATGGGCCCCTTCTTTCCCTGAGCCTCTTTTCTCCCCACCATTGTCACTTGCTGCATTTCTTTCTTATCTTCGCTGCTTGACAAGGAGAGAAACCAGAGAAACTCTACTCTTTCCACAGCAAGAGTAGAGAGAACAGGTTGCAATGCAGAAGAGGAACAAGTCCCGGGTGGGGAGGGAGGGGGGGCTGCCTGTGGAGCTTAAGCAGGGGCCTGGTCCTGCCTATCCTTGACTCCAGGCCTTCAAGTAAACCTATTGACTCAGTGAAGATTACTCACCGGTATGTGTTTTTCCCCCTCTCTTACTGTTACTTTTTTTATTGCTCCCCTTCTACTGTAAAATGATTGTGGTTTTTTTATGGCATTTTAGGAATGACCATTATTGCATCTGTATGTTAAACAATGAAAAACAGTCGCTAAGACATGAAAAGAGTCTCAAAAAGGTTGAGAGATAACTTAATATTCTAGTTAGACACCCTGAAGCTAGAAAATAAACTGAAAGAAAAAGTGTTAGCCCACCATTAATGTTAGAGTTCACTTTAGATTAGAATTTGAACTCATGAATTTGAACAGATGCTGCATTGCAACACCTGGGTAAAACTATTTGTTTATTCTAAATATTTCCAAACCAACTGTCACTAAGGCTAGTTTGAGAACAATTTATGCAAGTAAAATGTCAAGCGACTGAACAGCAGAACAAGACAACTACGGATACCCTCTTGGCACCACACTACAGGTCGCTCCAAAAAGGGAAGGGGGCCCGAGGTGCAGGGGGGCCATGGCATACCTCCAATCGCCTGATCAAGGCAAGAACGTCAGAAGGGTCCCCTCTGCACTTGCAAACCTAAGCAAACTTGAGCCAACCTAACTGCCTGGCAAGAAAATGCAGGAACCGCGCAGAGCAGAGCAACTCATTGCTTTTCAGAGATGTCCTTTCTCCTCCTGCCAAGATCAAGGACTACTGGCAGCACCCTGCATGGGAATCTGCCGGCCTGCTTGCTGGAAACACTTCCCTGCCATTGGTGCAGGCAGCCAAAGCTTTCTTGTTCTGCAGCGATGCTTTCAGAAATGGAAGCAAAAACAACAAAAGAGCCACGGGCACGAATGAAGTCAGCTCTCAGCTGATAGCACGAGAAGCTTTCGCTTTCAAGGAAATATATTCTCTGCACCGAGCGGCTCGAACAGTGTTGGGGGGGTATGCATGGGCTGCACTCATCTTGGCCGAAAAGGGCAAACCATGCAATTAGGCCTTTCCAGAAGCCTGTCCTTTGAGGACAAGCTATGTGAGTCTTCTCTGTCCTTCTTCTGATGCTGCTTTCAAGTATACCCAAACACATACATTAACGCCCCCGCCCCCCCCGATCGCTGTCCCATTATCTCATCCATGCAACCTCCAGCACTACTCAGTCTTAACAGCAGTCCCATAATGGATCTGAGTTTTCACCAGAGAGAACCAACCACTCAACCTATTTCTCTGTGGGATGGATCACGTTTGTGAGGCCGCCTAGAGTTCCGGGAAGCAGCTGTGTGCAGGTCACTTCCTTCTAGCCACAGCCTGTTTTTAACCCTGATGCTTAATCACACGCATTTCAAGACTGGAAGCTCTGTCACCTTCCCAATTAAGATATCCCCACTATTAAGAAGTACATACTCCAGCAGGTGAGATTTTGTGTATCAGACCAAAATGCTCTTCAGGAGCGTTGCCTCGGCTAAGGGCAGGCCTACACAGTCCTTTCCCCTGTGTGTGCCCTACATTTGCTTTGCTGTCTTGGCCAATTTAATTTAAAATGGTTCACTCTGACAGAAACAAGCTTTCCGGAGGCTCAGGAAGAGATTTTTCACTGTCCTGTAATGAGATTCTTTCAGGCTGGAGATGCCAAGGACCGCAGCAACGATCTTTTGCATGAAAAGGTGTGTTCTGTGACAAGCGCAGCTCCCACGCATGCAAGGAGCACCTCGGGGCAGCCCGGCTGGTGTGGTGCTGCAGCCTCCCCCTCAGGTGGGCTGGTCACGTCAGCCGCCCACACGGGCCTTACACGTGCTGGAGGAAAGCACTGCATTTCCTGAGCTGACAGCACAGCGAATACCCAAAGAAACGGCAAGCTGAACCCACTGCAATGAGAGAGGAGATTGACTGAGACTGTATGGAGGGCCTTCTTTGAAAAAGAAAAGGTCTCCATCGAATCCCAGCAAAGCTCTGCAGCAAGAGAGGCAGGTGTGACCGTCCCAGGTTGGCTTCTGCAGAATCTGCATGGACTGAAGTGGGCTGGGATGCCCCGCTACTCCTGCCTGCATTAGATGTGAGACTGTCCCACCTTTTTGCAAAAGAGGCAACTGAGCTCAGTCTAGCTTGAAGCAACGCCAAGCAGAGGAAGAACTTCCCAATGCAATCACAACGGTGGTTGAAGAAGAACTGGGTCTCAGTGGGAGCCCTGTCCGCATGCTGGGAGTGCCTAGGGCCGGGCTCCCACCAAATACTAATTAATCCGCTTTGGAAAATTCCCGAATCAATTCCACGCATGTGCATGAAGGAGGACAATTTTGTTTTACAGGAGACTGGATCCAGGAATTCCTTCTGAGAGCTGTGGGCCGCTTCAGCTCAAGCAAGAGGAAGGGTTTGAGTCCTTCTGATTCCCTGCTCTACTGGCCTCTCTCCACACTGTTCTCTAGGGTGCGTGGGCCCCCAGAATCGCCTTTTTGGAGGGGGCAGTGGGGACTACGGCAGGGGAAAAGCCTGGCTTGCTCCCTAGCAGGAACACTGCTAGCCATTCTCTGACTCTCACACAGGAACATCACCCTGTTTTAATGGAGAATCAGACCCCAAATGAATATTGTGCATCTTCTATAGCGTCTGAGCTTATGAAATATTCTGTTCAAAACCTGAGAAACTGAAAAGTACAGTCATGCTCAGCAAAGGGCCAAACTAAGCATGAACAGCACTTCTGTCTCTTTTAATTGGCAGGCAACCTCACAGGGTGCAATCCACAGTAGCAGCAGGAGAGAGGAGAGGTTTGAAATTATACCTCTCAGTGGGCTTTCCAATTATGCGGAAAAGGATGTGGGGCTCCCTTTAGCTTTTCCCCATGGGAGAAAAGTAGATTGAGGAAAGAGTCTTTGAGGTGACCAATGACTGGAGAAGAAAGGATATTCTATCCTTCCTCCACTCAGCCTGGAAACCTGAGGAGGAGGTTTCCAATTTAAAAAATAGCACAGAAAAAGTAGCACAGGACTCAAAATACTGGACCAGTTTCCATGTCCAGACAGACTGCCATGGGTTAATTTACCCATGAAAACTGCTGCATTAAGCCAGATGCCCCCAGAAGCCAGGTTTGCACAGTGCCTGAAGGCACTTGGCTTGCTGCTGCCACGCGAACCAAGGTGGCAAGGGTTGTTTAAGCGCTAGACAACCCTCAGTGAACCCCTGCCAACTGGATTTGCACAATGCAACAAGCCAGGCCAAGCCGGGTGCTCATGCAAAAACAGCACAGGCAGGCACCCAGCACAGTGCAACACCCCTTGTGGGTAAATTAAGCCACGGGGCAGTCACTTGGCCGGTTTGGCCCTCGGTCACGGCAAGTACAAGAGAAGAGCTGCAATGACAAAAGCCAGCAGAAAACATGCTCAGGTTCCAAAACAATTCCATTCAAAATTCTGTAAGGGTCCTTTGGCGTATTCTAAAACCTTGGAGAAAAATAGGAGAAGATGCCCCTGTGAAGAAGCAGCTGGATGCGCTGTGTCTCTGAAGAAAATACAGGTGGGCAATCCGGTTTTCCCGGAGGGACTCATACCTCTGTGGCTGCAGAGCTGCCGCCCAGGTCCCGGGATACGAAGAGGTTGACGATCGGCCGGCTGATCCTCTGAGTGGCCAAAATCAAGGCCAAAGGCCACCAGAAGCTCAGCATCTTCCTTACTGTTGCATCTCCCTGAAAGTAGAGTGAAAACAGACCGCCCTTGTGAATGAACCTATCAGAGCACAGGCAACAGAATAGCTGAATCATGTCTTTTCCAGATGCTAGTGAAGGTGTGAGCGAGGCGGCAATCCAAGTGTGTACAAAAGCCCATCAAAAGCCGATTGGTCAGAATGGGGTTGAAGGTTCTCAACATAGTAAACTAAACATCTGGAGAAGGAGCATTAATTTATTAATTATATTTATGTCCCACCAAACAATGGCTTATACAATCCCCCTCTTCTCCATGTTGCCCTCACAACAACCCTGCAGGTGGGTTAGGCTGAAGCCACTCAGTGAGATTCATGGGCAAGAGGTGATTAGACCCTGGATCCCCCAAGCCCCAGTCCAACATTCGAGCCGCCACCACCATCTTCATCTCTATACTGCCTGCAGCCAAAGCTCTTTGGGCAGTGTACAACCACACATAAAAACAATAAAATACAATCGATAAAACCAGTAAGAATTAAAAATTAATTTAAAACAACATAAAAGAACATTAAAAGACAACTGTAATGCAATTAAAAAGACCTGCCCGACAGAGACAGATAGCTGGCTAATCATATCAGGCCCCTTGGAGGTCTTTAAAGGCCTCCGGAAAGAGGGCTGTCTCGACCCGGTGCCGAAAAGATGGCAAATTCGTCACCGTGAAGCTGCACTGGCTCTCACTGGGCATTTAAAGTAACAGGAAAACAGCTGACACAAGGCAGGGCGGCCACTGCGGATCCGTGCAGTGCTGGCAGAACTTAAAGAGCGAGCTGTTTCAGAGCCTAACCACTGTTCTGCCAGTCCCTCAAACATCTGTACGCACTTCTTTGTCTGCATCCTAGGGATGCCGGAGAATTCCGTCTGGGCAGGTTTTTCCGTTATGGCCAACCAAATAGTGTTAATTCCATTTGTTCCAAGCAGGGTCAGTACACGGATTTCTTTTCGGATTTTGTTTTAATGCCACTTTGCAATCTGTACATGTCCCTGTCCAAGTCTCAGGAAAGGGTGGGAAAAGTAGAAGACACAGCAGCCATCAGGCCCAGAAAAAAATTGCGAGGGTTTCATTGCAAAGGGAGAGGCATATTTATTTATTTCATTTCTATACTGCCTCAGAGCCAAAGCTCTCTGGGTGGTTTATAACAATCCTTTAAAAACTACAATAAAAATATAATAAAATACCTTAAAATCATAAAAAATAATTGTCTAAAACAGGTAAAAGAGACAACTGCAAAGAATGACTTTGCTATTATTATTATTATTTATTAATATTATGAGCCACGCCCCCTCCTTTCATAATCTGAAGGCTTTGTTTTCACTTTAGCAGCTTGCCTTCAGACAGCGCTCAAGTTAGCACACAGTAATACATTAACCTCTTTATCTTCTCTTGGTCAATGTTCACGGCTCACACCTACTGCACTCTGACAAACTTGGCAAGGATTTTAATTTTGGATGTTTATATGTATGTAAGTGTGTAAGGGAGTGTTATAGCTAATGGGGCAGACTAAAAATCTAATAAATCAATCAATAAGTGCAGACTTGCGAAAGACCATTAAAAAATACAATTTGGCAAATTATTATTTGTGCCCCCAAAAGCAAAAATCAACCCCCCCAAACACACACACACACACACACACAAATACACACACACAAATCACTGCTTATTCTGCTATGTGCCAGAATGGAAATAATGTGCTGAAATGAAACAGAGCTACACCTGAGGGAACTGTAGACTCTTTTGTCCTTCCCCACAAAAACTCAAGACTTTCTGCAGTAAGCAAAAAAGGCCAAAGACATCTTAGGAAAACCCAGAAGGATGACAAATAGATGACGACAACATGCGGGAGCTGCAGGAAACACAAATGAGTGGACTGGCCTCTGGAACCAGGCGCCTGGGCTAACCGACCGGCCTACGAGTCGCCTACAGGGCAGGTGGTTCCTTTCAGCTTTCCATGCACCATAAGTCACTTGCCTCCATGGATGAAGGCCAACTGGGCCAACAAGAGGGGCCAGCAAAATATCACTTCCTGGCTGAGAGCGCGAGGCTTTCTTGGCAAGGCTGACCTCTCGCCACATGTACCAATGCATGAAAACGTCATACCCCCATCTCCGGCCCACTGCTGTCTGGGATAATTTCGTGTATGTTTCTGTAGTAGCCCAGGCATAAGGTGGTGCATCGGACGAGTGCCCCCATGTACAAGGACAGGATGGGGATCAGGAGAGGCTCCCTGCACTCCAAGTGGCTGTGCAGCAGAATGGCGACAAAAACAACCTGGGGAGGAAAGAAAAGGGGCACTTTAGGGAAACAGCGGTCTGACTTACTGCTCTCAGAATCGAAACCGCTCCGGATCTAGTCGGTACTGAAAATTCGCTGTGCTTGCTGCTTTCTGACCAGCGCACCAGAAGCAATTTAGAGCAAAATGTAATAATGCATAACTATTCATATGATTACCTTCCATTTATATCCTTTATCCTTCTTGCGGGGACGAAAGACAGCTCACCCACCCACTCGATTTTAGACTGGGCCGAGTCCATGACTGGCCCAAAGTCACCCAGAGAGCTACACGGCTGGCTGGGGACGAGGACTCAGAACTCCTGAGGTCAGAGTCCAACACTCACCTCCCTGAAGTTTAGCACATAGCACAACATTCCTGATCTTGCATTATAAAAATGCAATTGAAGATTTTGATCCAGGTTGCTCAAACAAGTGTGTCAAAAAGTTGACACTTTATTTAGGGAAGATCTTGTGAGCTCATTCACCAGGAGCAAATTAAATTAAATTAAATTTAAAAAATTAAATTAAAAATTAAAAATTAAATTAAATTAAAAGTTAAATTAAAAATTAAAAATTAAACTAAATTATTGCTCACAGTGAGATTTCTGTGGGCCCAGAAGTCCTGGGGAGTCAATAGGAAAATAAAAAGAAGGAAACAAATGTATACACCAGCGCAAATCAACAGATCTCATCTTGTATGCATCCCTTTGAAATGTTGTAACTGCTGGCAAATGGCACTTCCAATACTGAACAAAATTCAGTGACAAATGTCAAAGGCAAGCATTAAATTAGGATGATTTAATGGCAAGAAACCCTCAAAACACAAGGAACAAGAGAGGTTTTTCTTTTGAATAATGCTTTTTTAGAGAATACCTGGTAACCAGTCCGTTAGTTTTGCATGTATCAATTTTTAATCTGTCTCCAAGCATAAATTGGACTGAAGTATCAACTACTTAAATTGGACTGAAGTATCATCATTATGATAAGAACAGAGAAATTGCTGATTAGGAATGTTTTCTCCAGAGAATTGAAATTGCTAAAACTGCCGTTTTAGGAGTCTGAAATTTAAAATGTTTTGAGAAAGGATTCACACAACTGTTTTCAAGATATTTGTCTTCCAAAATCTGGTAACTTACACTTCTGCCTCAAAGCTTTAACCTGACCTCTTAGAATAAGAGTGAGAAAAGGGGATGAGTGAAGAATCTGGTTTAGAGGTGGGAATCTGTTGGCTTTCCTCAGCTCGAACACTCCAGACTCTGGACCACTTTCTCTCTGCCCCTAGTCCAGCCAATGCCTGCCAATTGCATGGGTGTCCAGCAGGGAGCAAGTTCAACATATGTGACTTGTGAGCTTTACTTAATTATCAAATTTTGCCCAAAGAATTGCATACTTAGTGCAAAAAAGCCATTCATGCTGCTAAGTGTTCACGGACTTGTTCTCATCTCATCTGACTTCCTGGCCAAGGCCAAGCGTGGGAAGCAAGTCCGGTGAGCACAAGGGAGACGGAGTCCAGTCTGATCTCTGCATCCCTAAGACTCTCCTGTCATAACTTGTCCACCTAGAAACAGTTGTTTGAACTGGGAGAGGGGGCAAAATATACTCCAAAGAATAATGTTAAGTTTAGCATAGGAAGACAAAGTCCGCAGTGAATACAAAGACATCCATTCCATCTCCCTCACTACCCAACATTTATTTATCCAATCTTTGCTTATTATTAGATTTGTTTCCTGCTTTTTTCTTACAATGAGCTCAAAGCAGCTTACACAGTTCACTCATGTTTTGTTACGACAGAAAGAGAGAGGGTTTCAGAATCCTAGTTTCAACCCTATTTCAAGGGAGTCCCATATCTATGTATAAGTTTCTAAACACTGCAGCCTGGTTTACATGTAATGACAGCCACAATTTTTTAAATTTTAGGTTGTCATCGACAAGGCAACACACTTATCTCGACATGCAAACCAGTAATTCTGGTTTAATTAATTAATTAATTACATTTGTACCCTACCCATTGGCCAAATGACTCCAGGCGGCTTGTCTCTCCCTCAACAAGTCAGAGAAAGAACTCACGGTTTGTTCTCTGGCTTGTCAGGGCATGCAAGACGTGCCAAAATGCCTGATTCTTGCTTCATGCAAAACAAACCCCAACCAAAAGGTTGCTGGGTTGCTTAACTGCTCCCTCCTGCAGCAAAAGCCTGCCTTGTCCAAGACAGCCCACAGTTAAAAGAAAAGCTGCCATCAAATTGGCCAAAACATTCCAAGCACAGGTATGGTGCAGGTTTGGCTAAGCCCTTTCTCTGGTAGAAATAGTTGGAACTAGAATTAGTCTTACCTGAGCAATAACATCTGAGATGGAGGCACATCCCACCAGGAAACTGTATTTGTGTTTCAGAAGGATGCCCGCATGGGTCCAAGCCTGAAAGGACCAAAAAATAAAGTGCATGACAGTCTAAAAAACCAAGATACCTTTTAAACTTTAACATGCCTCTGAGAATAATGTAATTTGCAAAGGTCCAGTATTTGGTGGAATGGCCCTAGTGTTAGAAACCCATTTGAAGCCTCTTCTCCCACATCCAGCGCTTTTGACCCAAAGGAACCCAAACCTGGACCCAATTTATGTGTTATGAGTTTGGGGGGGTGGGACACAGGGCATAATGTGGCTTCTGAATCCAACATGTTTTCACAGACCAGGCACTGGTCCACAAAAGGTTCTTGGAATACAGTTCCCAACATTCCTTTCATGACCAGTGGTAAGGAACACTTACGTTGGGAAAGGATATGTGACAGGCAGAAGAAATTAGCCCTATGCCTGCTCTGATGCAAAGCAAACATGGAGAGGAGGGCCATGGGCTGGCACAAAAGTCATGAGTGAGACCCTTTGAAAGGGGCTCCAGAGTAGAAAAGGCCTTTGAATGCACTTGTGGAGCCTTTTTCAGACTTTTGCTCTCCTCACAGGAAGGTCTAATGGGCAGCCGCACATGCAGAGATGTTGGACTGCATTTTCTTGGGAAGCTCTCAAGCCTAATAACTACTTATTCAAGAAGTGACAGAAAGTGAGTTGTTTTTTAAATGAAAGACCTGACTGAACATTTTGTGGAACTGAGACAGCCTAGTCAGAGGCGCGGTTAAAATACGATTCTGAATGGAACATATGAAAGGGAGTTTGGCAGCAGGAGCCAGTGACGTGGCCTGCCTGGACCCATGCCTGGGCCAGAAGAGGCCATCGCTGAATGCAGGGCCCCAGTGCGCTTCCGCAGGTTTTCCAGCAGGAAGGGCAGCTAAGAAAGCGAAAAGCTCACCATGGCATCCATGAAAGGGAAGGCCGCAAGATAAAGGAAGGCCTTGCGCGTCTTGCTTCCCACTGAGTCATCCACATGATGTAACTTGTTAATAATGTAGTACCCCAAATCACTGTATGCTGCAGAAAGAAGAGGAAGAAGAGGAGTAACAAAGCAACAATAAAGACCGCAATTAAAAAGACAACTCTTTTTAAAAATCAAGTGGTTAATGCTAAGATTTTTATCATGAATAAAGAGATGGGAGTGACTCATAGCATCCCCTTGATGGCACAGCTTCCATGCTGAAATTACTTATAAGCAAGCCAACTTACTAATAAAATGAACTCATGTACTAGCATTAACTTGTTTTAAATGGCATCAACTTCAGCTATGCTGATTCAATTAATGTTAGTCGTTGCCTAGCAAAATTAATTTAAGGTGGAATCCCATGTTTGTTTGGAAGGGAAAGAGCCTCCCTGGGCATGCTGGGAGCCATAGGCCATGCCTCTTTCTAAAGACTGATCGGATTGCATCCTTCTGAATGCTAAGCCTTGGAATGCTTATTCCACGGCTATGTCCACCCAACCCCAACTCTCCCTCTCCCCCCTGCCCACCCCATTTGGAACAGTTTGTTTAAGACTGTGCTCACACCCGTCACTGCCCCACTCTTTCCCCCCTTGCTCCCTACGGCAGGATGTGGACTGCCCCACCTGCTTCTTTAGTCTCTTCTCAGCTCATTCCTCTCTCTAGCTCTCCTCCTCCTCCAGTGGCTCTTTCTCAGCCCTGCTTTTCAAGCCCTCCCCTTCGCTTTCTCCCACCACAACTCCCAGCCTGGTTCCTTCACGTCCTCCATTTCTAGCACGTTAAATCACCGAAACAGCAAAAAGGTAGAAAGCAATGGGGCTACATGGCCAGGTGGATTTTCCCAGATACTAGCATTCGACACATTATTGCGGGGCATTGGAACACCTGAGGAGTGAAAACAGCCCAGCGCTCAGTGTTTCTACCCTATTCCCTATGTAGACAGTGCTTGTCCTATGCACAAAAGGGTACATTTTCCTGGGAAATGTTGGTAGCTCCTTACAAGCACCAGAAAAGCCAAGAAACTGTGAATTGTCAGCTTGTTAGCTACCCTTACTAGAGATCCACAAAGGAAATGCACATTGCAACAGAAGCCGGAAGCCCCTGAATGACCCCACAGTGCCTGCCGTCCCACCCAGCCTCCTGTCCTTCTGAATTATCCAAGAACTGCAGCGGGGAGGGGGAAAGGAGGGCCCCTGGCTTTGTGCCTGGAGGGAAAGACAAAGCCTGCCCCTGCCCCAAGTCTGGGTTCTTCTCCTCTGTTTGCTGGGATTTGAAGGCGCTCATCATAAGCAGTAAAGCTCCTTCATGCAGCCTTGAGTGGCATCAAACTACCACACAAAGTGAAGGAATTACTCATTCTGCTGTGAAGGCGTTTTAAAGCACCAAGCTTACAGGATTCGTGTCCTGTAAGTACTAGAGATACACACACACGTGTCAAACAAAAGCTACACTGCTCTTGTTAACATCTACATCCTCATCCTCACTCCACGGACAGACCTTTCCCATGTCATGTCTGGAGAGAGGAGAGTCAATATTATGCAACAAGCTTTTTTTAATAAAGCTTTAGCCATTATATTAGAAAAAGGGGGAAATATTTTCTTGCTTCATCTCTTTTGCTATTTGATAATAAATTCAAAACAAAGGTCTTTGAGATTTGTTTGACTATTTCTTAAATAAACGCTTTTATAAACACAAAGGCAATTACAGCCTAAGAGTTCAAGGACTCTTTGAACCCAGGTGACTTTTGCTAATACATCATCAAAAGAAAGGCCTACTTAATAGGATATTATGTTTGCTTTCAAAGATCTTATCAAGTAATTCAATATTGATCCTATATTGACTCATCTCCACAAGCAACTGTGAGCAAAGGTTGCATTTTCATGCCTCATGTCCATACTCCAGGTGCTAATTTTTAAAATCAACCACTGAATGCTTACATAATGGAAAGCCAGGATTTCAAAAGCAGCACAAAGCCTAAGGGCTGCATTAGCTAATCTTCTTGAACTAATGCAACGTACAGTGTTCATGTACATGTTAGCTCCCAACTAATTTCACTGCATAATTTAAATAATGTTAAGGCTACAATCCTATACCCACTTCCCTGGGTATAGTAAGGTATACCTTCAGTGTACTGTACTGAACCCCACTGGATTTACATAGGGCTGCACCGAAAGGCATGCCAGGGCACAACACTGGAATCTTCTGATATGTGAGAGGTGCGCTTTCCTTCCCCCAAGCAACTTAGCACCACGTAAGGCTTGTGCACTATCTAAGAATACTATGATTATGCAAGAACGCGGCTTACAGCAAAGTTAGAAAGTATTAGCACAGCCATTTTAATGACATGGTACGTGGCTTGCATCATTCTGAGAAGAAGATGCAGACAGAGAATCTAATCACACACAACTTCATGTCGCCTTGGCACCTAAACTCAAAACTAGTATTTGGGACGTAAACCTACTTACAGGGCATTATGCTATTTATGAGCGCTTGGATATGAATGCCCACCCCAGAGAAGCGTGCCTGGCAGCAACTCTGCCCGCTTTTGGGGGTTGGGCAAATACCTTTTAAAAACATTCTTCCAAGCTGTATAGGGGATTTCATGCCCATTTTGTTTACAAGAGATAACAGGGCTGGCAGGTACAGAGTATTTTGGATAGCATTCATTTAGAAGGGTCGCCATAAGACAGAGACAACTTGATTGCATGGGCCAACAACAAGACTGTGCATTTTAATGTGAGTTACCGAGGGCAAGGACCATTACTGGTCTCTGGTTTGCAGAATGCTTACATTGTCTTGCTCCCAGGAAGAGAAACTTCAGAGTAGCCTCAAATGAATTTAAACAGTGTCATTTGAGGGCACTGAAGACCAAAACATTTGGAGATCTATCTTTTGCTTGCCTTAGACTGAAAGTCCAAATATACATCCTATATTTATATTTTATTATATGTACAATGTACAGTTACTGTAGCCACTCTAGAAATAATAAGATTACATTTTGATACTTCTGATGGATTAGCCCCATGTATGTACACACACATAGCCACCCACAAGACGAATTATTAGATATTAAAATCCTTTACTCCCTATAGGTGAGGAATGGCACAGCCATACAATTAATGTGTCCATATTATGCATTCATATTTTGAATTATTATTGAGATCACACTATGAGAAAAGGAAATTCTAAATTGATGACACTTCATCATAGCTTTCCTGAACTCATGACTGAAGAAAGAATGCAATCACTGTTCTAGCATTAAAATAAACTCATAATTTTTGTGTTATTTTAGTACAATGATCTGTTTCACGTCCTAGGGCAGGACAGAAATCCAAAACAAATAAGCAAACCCTACGTGTATTTAAGGTTGTGCTATCAATCTTTCACAAAGTTCTTTGGCAGTTGTGCTGCATGCTTACTGTTAAGGTTGGCTTGAGACTGGCTGTGGGGAAGTTTTGAAACCCTATCACAAGAGATGGGCTGGGTGCTTGTGTGGACTGCAGGTGCCATCAGTCAACAATCCAATCAAGTTCTAAAAGCCCAAAGAGGTCCACTCACCAGACCTTTCCCAGTTCCCTCGAAACTTACAATGATCGTGCCCAAAAGCAGGCAATTTTCAGAACACAGAGAAGAAATGGATCCCTGGGATACAGTTCCAACAGCAATGGGAAGGGATGCTTACCTATCAAGGTGTGAAATACAGCAGCCACCGCACCAGCCACCACCATGCACAAAACTGCCTTGGTTCTGTCTCTCTTACTGTTCACAAACACCAGCCCCACATTCTTGAAGTCACTCATTGGACCTGTGAAAAACTTCATGAGTGAGTACGCCAACCCATAGCTGGCTAGCATTTCTACGGCATCTTCCTTAACAGCTGCGATACCTCTGTTCAAGGCCTAAGGAGAAGAACAAGGCAAAACAAGAGAAAGGAAGAGAACTTAATATGTGCCGTGCATCTTTGACAACTCAAAATGACATTTTGACATAGTATATTATTTATCTGGCAGTAGAATTATTAACAGGCCACATTTAACCATAACTTGAGTATTCCTAATATATAGTAGTTGAATAGAGCTATCACAGAGAGCCAAGGTCCATATTAAAAGAAAAAATCAAAAGTAAACAAAAATACAAAAGGAACAAAGGCTAAAACTACTGAGCTTTAGGTATGAATATATATCAATTGATTCATTCACTCAGTATTTGATATGTAATTTTATAAAAAGTAAAAAATTGTAACATTTCAACTCTGTAAAAGAGCTCTATTCACAGCAGAAGGTTCTGTGCATGGAGCCAATATAGTTGCAGATTAATAGGTGCTCTTGCTGAACTAAGGGGTGATGATGTTCCACTCCCATGTGGCACCACTCAAAGTTGCAGGTGACTGGCCCTGGTCTGGAGCCTGTTAAGTCTGAAAAACAGAACTGCAGATATATCTGCAGATATATATAGTGGCTACACTATAGCCAAGCCCAGAAGCTGTAGTCCCTCCAGCATTCCTCCACCTGGTGCCCTCCAGAGGTTTTGGATTTCCACCGCCAGCAGGGCCGATGGTCCAGAATGCTGAGAGTCCAAACAACTGGAGGACACCAGGGTGGAGAAAGCTGATGTGAAATCACACCAGCCTATCGAAGTAGCCAGCTGGTCTGAAGTGAAATTGGTCTGTTGTCCCCTGAAAAATTTCCTGATCTACAAAATTAATGATTACCAAGTGTACCGCATATGGATCAATTTCTATCTAGTGTGCATCTTCTCTTTTGTTTTATCAGAGCATTTTAATTGCTGAAGTATGTCCATCATATTTTATTCTATTTTGTGAACTGCCTTGTTGATCTTAAAAGCAGAATATCAAATAAAGCATCAGTCAGTCAGTCTACAAGAACTGCAAAGCCAGTGTCTCCTTCCCTTAAGCTGTGTGTGTATGTGTTTTTGTGTGTGTGTTTCTCCTGGGAACCTCGCTAGACACACACATTCTTTGCCTTAAAACAAAAGAATCAGGGCATCCTTTATACTCCTAAGGGGCAATTTTGTATTCTTTCTCCCTTACATTTTCTGCTCGTATGAAGATTTTTCGTGGCCACAATTCCAAGCAGGGGAAATGATAGATTCAAAGCAACTTTTCTGTAGTCCGTGTCCTAAGACATCACTTGACACTTGCTAACAAAGCTATGTTACCTGTACTCACAAGCTGCCGGTACAGGCATTTCCACCCCTTCAGAAACATGATTCATCGTCAACGTATAAAGAGGGAAAGTGGATTTATTGCCAGCAGGGTGGCAGCTTGACACTGGATTCCATGTTCATCTGATACAGCCCCTTTCGCCTCAGTAGTAGCCTGACTGACGCACAAGACAGGAAGCACCAAAGCACCCAGGGCTTGAGGGAAAACTACCGATCCTAAAAACCATGTTTCGCCAACGGCTGCAAAAGGAGTGCCACTGCACAGGGAGAGGGAAACCCTGTGATGCAATGGAAGGAAGTAGCAAGCACTCATTCGACCATTTCTGTATAATGGCCACAGAAGAGTGGCTAGAGATGTTGCTTCTCTCACCTCGGACTGCCCCGAGTGTCAGAAAAGTTAGTCTGCGAACACTACGGCAATTGTCCTCCCTTGCTTACCAGGAGATTTCTTTTTCCCTTAAGGTATACCTGTTCTACATAGAAATGATAAACATTTGTAGTATTTTTTACTTTTAAAAACAGCATTTAAGCAGAATGGACATGCTTAAGTTTGAAAATGTTGAACGATAGGTAAGCATCTCTCTCTCCGTTTCTCACACACACTGTAAAATTACATAATTAAACTGTGCACTAAGGGGGTTTGGGACAGACACAAGAAAGTAAACACTAACATTCATGCAACTAATCACGCAGCTTTCATAATTTGATGAAACATGGCCAAGGAACACGTGTTTAGAGTTGGTTCTGAAATGCAGCTCATTTACAGTTCATGGAGGATGGGTCCATCAAAACAAATTAACTCTGGCAGCTGTATGGAACCTGCAACTTCTGAGTCATTACATGTGGAAACAAACAACACAGAAGGCTTCTTGCCTTCACCTTGCTTGTAAGCTTCTTCTAATGCATCTAGCTGACCACTGGGAATCTGTATATTATTCTAGCTGGACCCTCAGTTTGGTCTAGCAGAACCATCCTTAAGTTCTTTGGCTAAGCACTCATAATGAGAGTCTGTCTCAACTCAGTTGTTCCACTGAGGAGGAACAGCTGGTTGGATGAATTACTGGAGGGTTGGTACAGTAAAAACAATGACACCATGCAGATGTTGGTTTCCCAGTGGATGATCGCTGCAGAAAACATGAATGTCAGTTGCTTAGCTTAATTAACAACCCCCAGACAAACCAAATATTTTGACCGATGGGCTCAGCCTTTCCCTTTTTAAAGCCATAGAAGAGGGGCTAACAAATCAGAATTTCCAAATGGCCATTTGGTGGACCAACCCATTGTCTTAAATATATCATTCTACTACAGATTTTTACAAGCAACTAATAAAATCCTTTGCATGGAAGGATGCCCAAAGTACGAAGGTAATCCTTGTCAAAAGATGCATCCCTTAATGTCGTGTCTCTCAGACCAGCCACTGGATCATCAGTTCTTATACTGCACTGCTACTATAGTTCTGCCTTTAATGAGAAACCGCCTAAGGGAAAAACCAAGAGTCACTCAGCAACTTCCCTTTATTCAATAAACTTATCATACCGGTCAAAAGTTCAAGGAGGAAATTGTGCCAAAGCACCATACTGAAAGCCAAAACTCATTTCTGACTAGCTAACTACACTGAGTGAGAAAACAAAGACTCTTTCCAGTGCCTTTAAGCCCTGAACCAAGTTTGAAAGTGATATATATGGATGTGATGCCCTTTGCCTGATTCAGCAGGGGAGGTGGATGGGTGATAGACACACACTGCAGTGGAAAGGAAGTGGCGGATATCCACATCTGACAAAATGATGCAACCAGAGTGACTCACACGAATTTGGGACTTATTCTTGAGAGGCAAGGAAGGTATTACAGAATTAAAGTCAAACAAACAAACAGAAAAATAAATAAGAAATGTTATCTTGGATGGATACCAAGAGACTGGTAGATGCAGAAGATGAGTTAATACAGTCCAAAACAGGGAAGGAGCACATTTGTACATTTATTTGAGTGTTCATCAAAAAGCTCCAAAGTCCCGTTCTCAGCAACTCCACTTAACAGGCCCTCCAGGAGCCAAATTGGTCAAGGCATCCATCTGAAAGCACAATGGACCCCAGCGAAGGAGAACAAGATTTTATTTTTTTATTTTTGGCAGTGGGGGGAGATCTGGCAAATGAGAACTTCTGGGCAATGAAGAGAAATGCTGTACTCGGTGAAGCTCCCCTTTCACCAACTCCCCCATAAAGACGACTTTTAAAAAAGGAACATGTAAGATAACACACCATTTAATAGACTAAAGTCACTGCACACAGAAGAATAGATTTACAATTTCCTTTTCTGTTTCTTAATTTCACTGAAACTAGCAGAAACTTGCAGATCTGAATTCATGCTTCTGTGCTTTTCCATTTTTCTATACACACTAACTAAAAATAATTAAATTTTGGGACCCAGGTTGGATGACACAAACTCATTTGATGACACAGATTGAAGAAATTATGCAGTTATTGTCTGGGAAGAATGCCCAGCCAGCCAGCCAGGAAAAATACGTATGCCAGGAAAAATTAACGTGGCAAACATCTTCTTTTGCCATTGCCAAAAATAAAATATTGCCCCAACACAATGACTAAGTTTGAAGAATAGCCTTTTGACCCTAGCATAAACTGGAAATAAGGCTAACTTGTTATTTATGACAAAATTATCAGATAGGATTCCCACATATTTTGCTGTGAGACATTCAAATTGAAGAACCTTAATCCACCATGATGGAAAACTCTAGAAAACTTCACTATTCCCAGGAAGGGTCATGAAGACAGCATATAAAAGAATGGTCTGCTCTAAACCTTCTTTATGATACACTGCATTGGAACCATAATTATATCCACTTCTCTGATAACAGAACTTTGTTGCCTTCATGTTTTCCATTGTTAGGTGCAAACCTAAAACTTAAGTATAAACAAAATGTAATGAGCAAAGTACCCCCAGGAAAGCGGCTTTAAATGCAAATATGGCTCCATGCACTGCTATGAAGAAACAGGCCCAGCAACTGGCTATTTTCCTGCATTACTTTGGCACTGTAGTTTTATCTTTTCAGTGGCTGTGCTGTGAAAACCTTCCTCAGGCTCAACGTAAGTATCTAGTCTATAGCTGGCGAACTCTTCAAGTGTTCTAAATTCCCAGGAAATACAACCATTCTCACAGGACGATTCTCCTGGTGGAAAGAAAGGACAATGGACAGCATCAATGCATGTGGTGTTGCGTTAAGAGTGCAGGACTGGGGCTCAGGAGACCTGGGTTCGAGTCCCCGCTCAGCCACGGAGCCCACTGGGTGACTCTGGGCCGGTCACAGACTCTCAGACCAACCCACCACACAGGGTGGTTGTTGTGAGGATAACACTGAGAGGAGGAGAATGAATTAGCTATTTTGAGATCCTTGAAGAGAAAAGGGCAGGATATAGATCTAATTAATTAATTAATTAATTAATTAATATATGTTACTTTTTAAAACAATCCTAGATATGATTGGCAACTTCAAAATGAATTGCAAGTCTAGCAACATGCCATTTCCTGTATTTTAAGACTATTTTTATCAGCTGCGATCCCTTTTCTGTATACTTTTTCGAGCAGACGTCTCGAGTTTATTAAAGCTCCAGACTATTACTGAACTCCAAAAACCTTTTCCTACTGAGCACATTACACCCACAGGCTAGGCTGTGGTTTTCACGAAGAAGACGATTAAATAAAG